GAGTGAAAACATTATATGGCTTCAAACCAGTGTGACTGGGAATCATGATTACCACGTACTTTCATGTATTCTTATCGTTTCTTGCACTAGGGAAACTATTCGGTATTTATACAGGTGATTTATTTCACTTACGAGTATGGTCTCGAGCTGCGTCCATTTATTTATAAATGTCTCAATGTGATCATTCTTTATAACTGAGTAGTACTCCATTGTATAAAAATACCACAACTTTTTTATCCATTCCTCACTTGATGGACACTTAGGTTGTTTCCAAGATCTGGCTATTACAAATTGTGCTGCTATAAACATGGGTGCACATATATCACTGTGGTATGATGCTTTCAGTTCTTCTGGGAATATGCCTAGGAGTGGAATAGCTGGGTCAAATGGTGCTTCCAGTCCCAGCTTTCTGAGAAATCTCCAGACTGACCTCCACAATGGTTGCACCAGTCTATACTCCCACCAACAATGCAGGAGAGTTCCTTTTTCCCCACAGCCTCTCCAGCATTTGTTGTTGTTGGTTTTCTTGATCTTGGCCATTCTTTCAGGAGTAAGATGAAATCTCAGTGTGGTTTTAATTTGCATTTCTCTAATGACTAGTGATGCTGAACATTTTTTCATATATTTATTTGCCATTTGTATTTCTTCATCTGAAAATTGTTTATTCATCTCCGATGCTCTTTTTTGGATTGGGTCTTTGAATTTTGGGGTCTGATTTTTTTAATTCTTTGTATGTTTTAGACAGAAGTCCTTTGTCTGAGGGACAGGATTTTTCCCCAGTTTGTGGGTTTTCTTTTCACTATGTTAGAGATTTCTTTTGATGTGCAGAAAGTTTTCAATAAGATGTGATCCAGTTGTTGACTCTGGGAAGTATTTCCCATGCGGTTTGAGTCTTGTTCATGAATTCTCTACCTATCCCTATGTTTTCAAGGTTTTTACCCAATTTGTCTTCCAATAGATTTAGTGTTTCTGTTTTAATGTTTAGATTTTTGATCCATTTAGATTTTATTTTAGTATATGGTGACAGGCATGGGTCTAGTTTTAGTTTTCGGCATTGGAGAGCCAGTTTTTCCAACACTATTTATTAAAGAGACTGTCATTCTTCCAGTGAATCTGTTTGGCTCCTTTATCAAAGATGAGGTGGTTGAGTGTGTTTGTATGAACTTCTATTTATTCATTTTATTGAACAACGTTTAGTAATTTATAAATTCCTAGAACATAATTATGTCCAAATTTTCTTGTAATTTTTACTTAATATTATTATTTTTAGTTCTTGGTGTTTTCTTCACTTTATTATTTTTTAAATTTTTAATGAGCATGTTAATTGAGCGTATTAATATCTGTGAACATGAAATATCTGTGAGATAATTTTAGTACACTCTTATGATGCACTAAGAAGTTTCCCTTTATCCACATTCCCTCTTCCCACTTTTAGTTTTTAAAGTTCCTTTTTTTCTGTTCATTTTACTCCTCTTTTATTCTCAGAGTTCCTTCTTTATATTTTTCTCTGTTTTGTCTCATTTTTCATGCCAAAGTTGCATCAGTTATAATAATCTTTCTGAAAATATTTAGCTTAGTTGATGTTAACTCTATTGTTTCTTGGTTTTCAGTTCCACTGTTTTTTTTTACTATCATAATTGTTGACTCCTTCTTCTTGTCTTTGTGTTGATTTTTGTGGTACTTGTGTGATATTCTGAGGCATGCATGTCATCTTGACTTCAAATGAAAGGTGTTAGCTGAAGCTCACTGCTGGAAATTGGAGATCTCTTAGCATAAGCAATCTATGATGGTTCATTTCAGGAGGGAGCTGTTGGCCTTCTAGGTCTTACTATGGTGTTGATACTCTTAGATTCAGCTGTGTCTTCCATCTTCCATCAGCTGTGATGTTTACTGTTTCCATGGTGTCCCTTTTTATGACAGTTTCTCAGACCAGTGCTATCAAGATGTGGTTACATCGTGTAGTGACCATTCCTTCTGCAAAACTTCCTCCACCCAGAGTACTACCCAACGTATGATGTGAAATCACTGTGCCTTTTAGTACCCAAAACTATCTGGAGGATTCCATCAATCCTTCACCATAGAATTGGAGGATAAAAAACAGACACCCACATTCACATTTAAACAGTTATTTTATATTTTTCCAGAAGTGATATTCGGTGTAGTTAGAAAAGAGAAAGAAATGATATAACTAAGTACTAAAAAGGAATCTGAATAATTATCAATATTTATTTCAGCTTTCACTGTGTAGCTTCAGTACCCAAAATACTTAATGGAAAATCCTTCTTAAGAGAATTTAGTAATATGGATTGTTGTGAAACTGTTATACAAAGTAATGAATAACTTTTCTGTATACAAAAATTTGTCAAAACTACAGCAGCGATCCTTTCCAAAAATGAAAAGTATATAGAAGTAAAAATAAGAAGTAATGCACAAGTATCAAGTTAATAAATATATAGAATTCAACAAAGAAAATTTAAATAGGAAAATAATCTTTATATATTATGAGACAATTGTAAAAATAGTCAACTCTCCTTCATAAATCTATAATTTAATGAAATGAAACTATATAATGTGATTCCAAAGTAATTCCTCAGACATTTTTATTAGAATTTAACAAAATGAGCCATAAGCATATCTGAAAGAAAAATTTATTTAGGAATGTTTTAGAAGAGAGTATTTAAGAAGGGTTATCATATCAGTATTTTAAATGTGTGTCTATAAAAGTATGTTTTTATAGTACTAGTACAAAAATCAAATGAGTTTAAATAACAGAATCCAGAAACAAATTCAAGTGCACAAGAGCCCTTGCTGCACTGTAAGGATGGCATTTTTAAATCAGTGAAGACTTTAACAGCCAACCTGCCGAGCAAGGTGAGAATGGAGAGAGGCTGATTGTCCATAAACCAGATTCAAGGGACTCAAAGATAGCAGATAGAAACTAAAATTTTGCATACACTAGCAAAAAATGGAACAACATAATTTTGGACTGAAAAGTCCTTTTTAAACATGTTTAAAGAAAAATTCCATCAGAAAATATAAACCAATTTCTTTGTCTCCGTCAAAATTTAAAATCTTTAGTGAGGGGGAAAAATACACCATTACAAAACTCAGACAGGCCATGAATAAAAAACTGGGAGACATTTTTCCTCTAAAATCTGTGAAGTGACACTACCCATAATAAGAAAAATGGAGTCAAGTCAGAATAACACACAAAAGAAACGTGGCTGATAAACATGGTTGTCACTGATATACATAGAAACTTAAAAACAGTAAAATCTCATATTTTAGATATGGGGATCATGTTTATTTTCCAAGCAAAGTATCCAGTGTTTGAGACATTAAAGAAGCCAGGCTTATTTACTTTTGGAGAGAGTTTACAGTAGAGGAACTTCTGTGGAAGCAATTAGCAATTTCTATCCAATTTTGAAATTTTCATATCCTTAGATTTAGTACACTGATTCTGAGAATGAATATCCTTTCCAGTTATATAATTTTAATTCAAAAAGCAGTACAAGTCCACAAAAATATATGGGCCAACATATAAAACTGAAGCATTCTTCAAAATAATAAAAGACTGAAAATAACACAAACTTCCATCAAGAGCAGATTACTGAGATCAATAATGGTAAATTACATCAATTTGACAGCACTCCTTTGCTTCTGCAAGTGTTACATGGCCTACATGATTTGGTGAATTCATGGTACATTTTAAGTGAAAAGAATTGAGTGAATTCATAATTTGGCTTTATTTAATTATTAGATGTACTAATCTGTATATGGAAAACGCAAGAGTATGTTTCCCTGCTTGTCAGTGGAAAAAAGAGTTAGAAACATGGCAGAGGGAAGTCCAAAATATATTGAATTAGCATACTCTGCTTTATTTCCTTTGTGTTTGGATATTTTCAAGTCTCTCATAAGTGATAAAAATATTTTGAAATGGGGAAAAAGTCAACATTGGCATTGTTAGAAATATTTCTTTTTTAAAATTTGATTTAAGAGGAAGATTTCTTTTAAAATGTGGAACTTTTAAATCCATAAATTGATTTCAGTAAACTTGAAAATAGACGCAAATGAAACAAATGGATATTTACGATATCCCCAGATTAAATGTGAAAAGCACTAAAGTAAGCAGTAAAGATGAGAGAATACCTTGTCTTCAAGACAATTATAGTGTACTTGATCATGAAAGAAATAAAGAAAGCTTCAAAAGATTTAAGCATAATATTCTGGGAAGATGGTACTTAACTAAGAGTTCCAATTAGATTCTAGTCCTTCTGTCACTACTTAAGTTACCTTCGGCTGTACCCTGAGTCACCATTTCACTGCATGTAGACTAGACGATGAACAATAGAACTCTGCAGTACATTCTAGATTATACAATTTTAATTCAAAAGAATTCACATGCAAAGTATAGATATTGTCAAAAAACGTGGTTCAATAGTAATTGATGGAGGATTGGTGCAGTTAATTCAGAATGAAAGAGAAATTTAGAATGTGATCATTCAAGAGGTGAATAATCAACATGTGAAAATAAAATAGGAGAGGTAGACAAGGAGAGTAACAATTACAAGAGCATGCACATAATAAATCAGAAGACTGTCCTCACTGAATGGATATGTTTGTCAGAAGCACACTCCCGAGATGGCTGAGGAATTTGATGTTTCTTAGGGAATTAGAAACTGCTACATATTCTTTGAGTACTATAAAATGTTAGAGTAATATTTGCTCAGCCTTCAGTAATAATTAAAGAGAACACATGATGTGTCAATGCTTGGGTTCTGTCACATCTGAGTTAGAGCAGCAAACTCAAGAGGCATTATGGATTCTTCCTAGACAACCTTGGGAAAATACCACTGGAGTTGCTATGGGGACTGTAGTGGCGGTCTCACACTTGGATGCTACTCTATTATTCAGAATACTACTGATTTTTTATCTTGTGCCTATTGTTTAATAGCACACTTGTATCTTAAGAGTCATTGTCCCAGAGAACAGTGAGTTGTTCATTTTGAAAAGATCCTTCCCACAGCTCCCTTCATGTCCTGATTCCTCAAGCTGTAAATAAAAGGGTTTAGCATAGGGGTCACCACTGTATACATCACAGCCATGACAGTCTCCTTCACAGTGGAACTGTTAGCTGAAGGGCACAAATAGAGGCCCATGATTGTCCCATAGAAGAGAGAGACCACGGAGAGGTGGGAGCCACAGGTGGAGAAGGCCTTGCGGATGCCTCTGGCAGAAGGGACTTTGAGAATGGCAGACACAATTTTTGCATAGGATGAAAAGATCAACAGGAATGGGACAATGATGACAAGTCCTCCCAGGATAAATATAACCATTTCATTAATTTGAATGTCAGAGCAAGCCAACTTTAGCAAAGCGGACATGTCACAGAAAAAGTGGGGGATCACGTTATCAGCACAGAAAGACAGGCGAGCCATAAGCAGTGTGTGCAGCAACGAGATGACCGTGGTCAGCACCCAAGACAAAGCCACCATCAGGTGACAGAGCTTGGGGCTCATGATGCTGGTGTAATGCAGCGGGTAGCAGATGGCCACAAAGCGGTCATAGGCCATGGTCACAAGCAGGAAGCTCTCCAGGTCAGCAAACAGCAGGAAAAAGAACATCTGAGCCAGGCAGCTGGCGTAGGGGATGGATGCGACTTGACTCTGCATGTTCTGTAACAACTTAGGAATGGTCACAGAAGAAAAGCAGAGATCAGAGAAGGACAAATTGCTGAGAAAGAAGTACATAGGAGTGTGAAGGCGGGAGTCCAGGCCAATGAGTGTGATTATAAGGAGGTTCCCCAGGACAGTGGTAAGATACAAGATCAGGAAAAGGGCATAAAATAGTTCTTGCTGGTCTGGTTCAATGGGAAAACCGAGGAGGAGGAACTCGGAGATGACAGTTTGGTTTCCGCTTTCCATGCTGCTTTTTGAAGACCTTTTTAAAAATTAAGAATAATTTGTATGAATGAATGAATATATATACACACATATATACCTTACAAAGCCTTCAGAAATATATTTTAAATTTAGCACTCATGAATCATAAATGTTCACTTCAGTACTTTCTTTGTCTTCTCTCAAGTATACAAATATTTACATAGAGAACAGGCTTAAGAAGTTATTCAAAGCTTAAGAAGTTAGTAAATTCAATGATATTCCAGGATTTGGTCAGAATATTCTCTAATACACCGTGAGGGGGAGCAGATAAGTATGGGCTAAAAATACATAGAATGTAGTCTAAGAAAACAGGTTTGCATGTCTCTATCTTAAGGATGTGACTATAACCAATCAGAAAATCAGTCACTATTCTTATCTTTCAGTAAGGATGATGATGGTTGTTGTGCAACTGGGGTGAGAATGATGATCGTGATGGTACCAATATAAGGAGCATGACATTTGTCAGTGCATACTCTTTCCACATATTGCAATAAGCTTTCAAACACGCAAAAAGTGGTTGGTTCTTCTTAAAAAGTTTAAGGAATTTATGCTATCTCACTTTTAGAGAATTTGATATTTTCTCTCATTAAATACCTTTCCCAGGAGCCTACCTCTATTATGCAGCAGACCTGGGACTTAAAACCAGACAGTATAACTTCAAACCTTTGTTTTTAGCAAGGAGAACTTCTGGGACTGATTCCATGTCACTGTGCGTGACTGTGAGAGCACAGAGGGTGAAAGGATTACTAGGAGAGGGGGCCGTTGTCCACACACCAAGAGGCTCAGAGGGAATAAGCCAAAGAGAATGTTCATTGTGAGAGAATCTCAAGGAAGCAGCCCTGAACTCTCTGGCTTTGTTTCAAATATCAGTGTAAGAAAAAAGGCAAGAGAAAAACAGCTTGGGAAAGAAGCTGTATCAAGGTTAAGTGGTTTAGCAGGGAAGAGAAGGGACAGTAGCCCAGCAGAGAGCACTATGCTAATCCAAACGTCTTGTTTTCCGACTGTGCTGTGCTCAGCACATGACACACAGATCCACGTACTTTTGATCCATTGTTCCTTTCTTAAGCATAATCAATCAATCCAGGACCCCATGCTTTCGCTCCACAGATCCTTTTGTAATTTAACCATTCACTCCTCAGTCAGGTCCCCAACACATGGCCGGCTGGTGTATATTACCTCAATAATATCTCATGTATGGGGCAGAGACAAATGATCTATGAAGGTAAAGAGTGTGGGGGGAAGAAGTAAACAACTTTTTTTTACTTTTGCATCTGACAATTAAGGAAAGATGCAAAATATCCAGCAATACAACCACTTCCTCTTGATCAAAGAACACAGTTGGTGGGGGAGACCTTTTCATGGAGGAGCACAAAAATGTTGGAAACCATGCAAGTCATGGTACAAATCAACTAATTTAAGGACTAAGGAATAAAACACGGCCCCTGAGCTGTCTCACCTGGCGAATATCTAAAAATATGAGAAGTAAAATCATTTTTGAGGCTCAATCTATGAAGAGTTTGTTTCTTGGCTTTCTCCCTTTACTGCACATTCAGGGCAGGAGTTAGCTCATGGCCAGAAAGTAGAACTAGTTCAGAAGTTTTTCTGATCTTTATTTTCAAAAGCCTGAGCCCCAGAATAAGGACAGAATTTTCTCACATAAAAAAGTCTCTCTGCAAAATTAAAAAATAAAGTGAACTTTCTGCCTAACAAGCCACAAAATTAAAAAGTGATGTTCCGTTTTTTCCCTTCAATTTGGGGGCCTGATAAGGATGGAGCGAGGTCAGTGGGTCCGAATGACGGGGAACTGGAGATGCCACTAGAAGGCATGAAGGTAAGGTACAAGCACTGACTCAGAAGACAGTACAATTTTAAAAAATATCATAACTTCCCATCAATTTGATAATTTTAATGAATTAATTTCTAGAGAAAAAGTATATTTTTCCTATTTCCTTCAGAAAGTAGAAAGGTGATCAATGTTGGATTCTCCCACTGATTCTCTGGATTCCAGGGAGCCAGAAAGCTGGCATTCATTTTTCCCTAGCCAGCTATTTGGAGCTCGAACTTAAACAAGGCGTCCTGAGCTCAGAGCCCCTCCAGGGCTGCATCTGGAGATCGGCCAGGAGGGCAGGAGCCATGTCTATTTTGCTCATGTGAAAGTCAAGTTGACTCTTTGTTTAACTGTGCTCCAGATATCATCACCTTGCTCTACCCTGCACGCTCCATGGTGAACAGTAAATATTTTACAAAGAACTTACAGCTCAAAATTAGAGGTTTTTGAAGACCACATTATCTGAGTGCAGTGCAATAAAATTAGAAATTAATGACAAAATATTACTTTAGGTATTAAGATTCTCCTAAATAACTTTTAAGTTAAGCAGTTGATAAAGCAACAGTACTCTATACAGAAATTCAACAAAGAATAAAAATGGGTGAGCATTTTTTATCAATAAACTAGAAAATGATGATAAAAAGATAATAGTAGTAGGGTTCAAATATACATAAATAAATGATTAATATAGCTAAAGGTATATATATATAACAGATATGAAATAAAATTATAAGGATCTTTCCTTTATAGTCAAAACTGAATCTAATTTCAACAAGACAAAGATAAACGTAGACCATTGGGAATAAGAAAAGGTTGCAATCACAAAAGCAGATTTAAAAACCTTTCTAAAACTTTTGAAATACATTTGAATGGCTGGTGAAATATTTTCTAAGCAAAGACCAAACTGCAAAATATGAATCAAAAAACACACAATATCTGAGTAGATAATTAAAATAAATATTTGAGAAGAAAGATCTTCAAATTTGAAGTAAATTGAAGAAAAATATCTGTAAGAAAAATTCTTACGCAAAACATAATAATATGAAATTATACTCAACAGTATCCTAGTTAAAGAGAAAGCAAGTTAAAATCACAAAACACTACTATGCACCTACTAGAATGGGATGGGAAAAAATTAACAATACCAAATGTTATTAACACTCATAGACTGCTAGTAAGAATATGAAATAATAAAATGTTTACAGTCCTTAATGCTTTTTAAAACTTTTTTAATCTTAAAGGGAATAAAATAAAACAACAGAACAGAGCAAATCAGAACAGAACAATACAAGCAAGTTAGGACTTCAGAAAAAAAACAGGAAATCAACAGTGGCTGCCATATGTCTCCCGTTTTCTTCAAAATAGCTGTCCATATCTTCACACGTATTGAAATCAAATAATAGAAAAGTCCTTAACATTTTAATATTTATCCACTTTACATCCAGAAATTTTGCTCCTGAAATACAATCAATGAAAGTAAATGTTCACCAAAAAAGATATGTGTTAGCACTTGTACAGATGCCTTAGTCATTGTAGCTAAAACTGAGCAATCCAGATGTCCACCAGCAGAATAAAGGATAAGCCATGACATAATCATTCCAGAGCGAAATTATGCAGCAAAGAAAAAGAATGATCTACAGTGGTCATACAACATGGATAAATCTTAAAGGCATACTGCTGAGTAAAAAATTCAGATTCAGAAAAAGTGTAAAATCACATTTATTTGAAGTTCATGAGCTGGTAAATCTAATCTAAGGTGACAGAAACCAGAAGAGAAGTTACCTCTAGATGTGGTCTTCAACTGAGAAGAAGGAGGCATGAGGAACATTTCTGGGATAATATAAATGTTTTGTATTTCAAGCTGTACAGTGGTTAGAGGGGTATCAAATTAAGAAGCTGAGCATAAAAGTAGTGTGCTATATTATAGATTGTGTTATAAATTTTAAAAATCCTTGGCAAAGGATTTTTCTGAGTTTTTAGTGGGGAGACAGCCAGGCCCCAGCCTTTCCCTGTGAGTCAGCACCATTCATGGACTGCAGAGGAAAAGAACAAGGATTCACCAAGAAGCAAGACCTCCCTGTGGACCAGTGCCACAAATGGGCCACCACCATCAGGGAGACAGCCAGTCCCCTGCCCCTTCTGGCATATGAACTAGAGAAAAAAAAGAGCCAATCTCCCCCTCCTATCCCATAAGTGACCGGCTCATCCAGAGAAACATAGACTATGATGATAGCTATTGAAGTGAAATGCAATTTGATGCTTGTGGTGTTTAAGGTTTCACTGACATTGCAGGTCTAGGGCAGATGGTCTGGTCATCTGTTCAGAGGATGACAATACACAATGTGGCATCTATGGGGGAATCTCTTTCCGAAGGTAGCAGCCATTATTGATTCCCTATTGACCTGTTTTGAAGTCTTCTATCATTTTCATTGTTTTGTGGGACTGGGTTTTATTATGTGTTGTTTTGTTTATTTTGTCATATCCAGTGGCAGTAGCAGCTATTTCAAAGACAGCAAGATATATTATAGTAACCATTTTGGATCTACTGTTGTCTTGTTTGAAGTCCTTTATTGCATTCATTGTTTTGTTTTTATTGGTTCAATTCTGTTCTGTTTTGATTGATTTTTACTATGTCTGAAGGTTTCTGCAGCTATTTTGAAGACAATATGAAGCATCATGGTAACTACTGATGACTTTGTATTGTTTTGAAGTCCTGTATCACTCATACTGGTTTGTTTTAATTGGTTTTATGCTCTTTAAAATAAAAAAGGATCTATCCAAGATTTTAAAATTTTCCAGGAATAAATGGTCCTCAGGATCTCCATGATTCATTCTGCCACCTAATATTAAATAGAAAGCTACCAAATATACTGAAGAAGAAAAGACACAAAGAATAAAATTATAGACCATATTGAGTCATGAATAAGGATTTGAAAATCTAAGTTAGAACACTACTAATACTGTCTCTCCTATTTGAAATCATTTAATATATCCAGTCAAAAATATGAGGTCCAGGAGTGGTGGCACATGCCTGTAATTTGAGCTACAGTGCTTTGGAGGCTGGGCAGCAGGATCACAAAATTGAGGCCAAACTAACATAAATGGCAAGACCCTGTCTCCAAGGAAGTAAACAATAAAAATGGGTAGAGATATA